TCGAGTAGATTGTCTTTTCAATCGACACTTGACTCCGATGATTTCTCAAACTGGAATCAGAGCGAATCTTCATTGGTTGTCTTCGACGCACGACAGCAGCTAAAAAGAAAGTCAATTCCTAGAGATCCATGGTTCACAACAATGTAATCGTCGTCGAAGGAACCATGTAATTCTAAAAACAAATTTCTCATGGCGATCGTTGCGAACGCACCTGTCGAAACGTAAATTGAACTTGTAGTGGAGCGAGGGTCGAACGAAGAGATTGTAGTATCGTTTAGATAAAATGGAGAGAAAATCACGATGTAAAATTTCAACGTGATAGGTGTTAATTATTTGTACGATACGGGTAGCATTCGTTCACTAGACAAATCCAACCCAATCATCTAGACTATCTAAGTTTTTTTATAATTTTATGATACTAGGTGCGGTGTGATTCGTAGCATACTGAAGAAAAAGAATGATAGATATTCTCTTCTTTTTTCTTTTTAACGGAGGGAGAAAAGCAAATCTCGAGCAGAGAAGTATTTTAAATGAAAATAAATTTCCCACGAAATTTACTAATCTTTTTTCTCTTCTCTTTTGTCAAACGTGAGATCAACTTTCTTCAGAAAACGAGTCATGCCGCATATTACGCGCTCGCACCGATCACATTGATCGACCGAGTCGAAACGTTCAAAGACGACGAATGCTTCTTCGTCCAACGGGTACAAATGTTCAAACTAAGACTCAATGTCCGCGATCGTGCGAGCTGAAAGAAGAAGCATCGACGAACGAAGAAGTTCTGAGAGGCAACATGCTCTCGAAATGACGAGCGCCGAACGAAGAAGTTAACAGAATTTTATTAACAATGTCGAATGCCTTGTGAGTTGAATATTGGAAATACTATTATCTTAGAAGGAAAAGAAGAAAAAAAGAAGAAGAAAGAAACAGGAAATTTGAAGCAAGGAATCTTCTGCCGAGAGTGAAGATTATATTCAAAGTGAAGAGAAATGATAGGAGCGGCTCTTCCCTGGCTATTTAAAGATTTTCTTCGAAGAACGGCCGAGCTTCAGCGCATGGAACTTCTATTTTCACGCAGGTGAATCGATGAATCGTCGGAACAATAACAAACGCGTTAGATTTAGAACTTTCGTTTACAACGTTGTGAAACAGAACGGACAAATGATTCGTAATGTAGTTGCTATCGATTAGTGAAACTTGAACAGGGGCGTTTGGGATCAATTTTCACTGACACGATATCAAGCAGAGTTAGATGAAGAAGAAGAAGAAGAAGAATTTGTTTCATGCAGCAATTTTAGGGAGTTTTTTCGAGACTCCTCGCGCGATTTTGTAAAGAATTTCCCTCCTGGATTAGATAAGTTATCTTGGCCATTGTAAACCAGAGAGAACTTCGAAGCACGATTTGCTATTTAATCAACGATGTATAGATAAAAGACTTTCGTCGGATAAAATGCATGCCAAATATTTGGAAGAAAGTGAATGGATTTACCAGACAGAACAAATGAAAGGAAAGAAGACTTTCGTCGAAATTCGCAGATGACAAAATGCTAAATATTTGGGTAGAAAATTTGCCAGACAGAGCCAGGTATCAACTGTATCGTGAATTTATATTATGTTATATTTATATCATTGTATCGTAAAAAAAAAGAAAAAAAAAAAGAAGAAGAGACGTGCGCGTGTGTAGAGCACTCTCTGTAGAAAAATTGTGAAAAGACGCTGACTCGTCTCGTGGAAACTTGCTGGTTTAAAGACGTGTCTGTACGATTTCTTCAATAGCGATACTATTTCGCGTGCTGTGACTTGCTTTTGATAATACAATGATCGGGGGACCATTTAACGTATTAACCAGAATTAGCCAGAACGAAAGCACGTGACTTGGCATTTGATGGAAGAAAACGCTGGATCGACGAAATTTTTTACAAAAAAATCGCGGCTGCATCATTTTCAATTTACACGTTGAACACATTTGTAGTGTATCGAGGGAACGTTGATAAGAATTTTCCACCTGTCCCGGACCAACTCCTGTTGCAACGTTTCCGAAATTCTTCGATTCGCGATTATACACACGAGTATACAGCCTCGTACTATCATAAGATAAGAATCACAGACTGTCGCGCAGGGGATCGTATGTGTGTAATTTCTTGTACAAAATTCAACGCCAATTAAACGCAGTTTTGTCGGGAGAAAGTGTATGTTTGTGTGTGCGAGAGAGAAAGAATTTAATATATTCTATAAATGAAGCTTTATAACAAATGGTTATATATATATATATATATAT